TCAGCAGATCATTTACCTTCCTCTATGGTCCCCAACGGAAAGGGAGCTGCAACCAACTCATCACCTGACAGAACTAATCGATAATCTTTTTTGCTTTTTCTCTTTTGAGCCAAGGGCTTTCTATTCCATAATTTATGTGGAAGCTGTCCCAAGCTATTACTGCAGGGAAGTCCTAGACACAGAAAACTGGCTACCATTTCTTTTGATAATAACAAGTATTCAGCCTTTTCCTTTCTATTTTTTAAATATGCATAATGCCTTAAATTAGATAATTTGCATTTGTATATTCAGAACTGCTCCTAACACAGGAAATGTCATAATGGCTTACTTTGAGTAAGAAAACAGGGAATGGTGGGGACTCAGCTTCCATGCCCACCCACCGGGGTAGAAGTGGCTCCCCATTCTGCTCCAGCCATTTGCCACCATACAGTGTGAGCTTGGTGTCTTCCATTTATTCTAAAGAAGCTGGAATTCCAGAGTTTTGTGAAATCTTCATTTTTTAAAATACTAATTTGTTATTTAAAAATCCTTTCTGGCTGAGTGCCACCTTTGTGCTGCCAATTAAAATTTTAAATTCTTTTGCCTGACCCTACAGATTTTCAATATGAAAGTGTTTTTAGGTTTTGAATAAGCTTTTGCTATGCCAAGGCAACATTTCATGGACATATTCTACCTGGAAACTGTTTGCATGTAAACACACCATACATGGTGTAAGAAGCTGTGTGAGCTCTTAGGAATAAAATTCCAAATGCAATCTATTTCAATATAGAAAAGCCTCTCACTCTAGCTAAGATAGGAAAACTTGGACTTTATAATCATGAGAGACTTCTCACATTTCTTTCTCATAAAAATTGAGCAAAAATATTACCTGATACATGTGATGAAAGAATTCCTAATAAACAGAATTACTCAGTTAATCAAGTGTCTCAGACATAATAAAGCAATCAAACAAATGAAAGTGCTCTTCAGAGACAGGAGTGAAGAACTTAAGCAGTTTAAGTAATTTAAAACTGACGTGACGGTCCTAACAGGTTTGGCTCAGTGGATAGAGTGTCGGCCTGCGGACTGAAAGGTCCCAGGTTCGATTCCGGCCAAGGGCATGTACCTGGGTTGCGGGCATCCCAGTACAGGAGGCAGCTGATCCATGTTTCTCTCTCATCAATGTTTCTAACTCTCTATCTCTCTCCCTTCCTCTCTGTGAAAAATAAATAAAATATATTAAAAAAACAAACAAACTGACGTGATGAAAAATTTGAGGCTGTCACTGCTTATATGACATTTTGAAAAAGGTCGTCTTAATACTGTGCTCATCTATAAAGCTGGAGTGTGATTCTCATTTCACAGTTTTAAATAAAACAAATTAAGTATTCATTGCTGAGAGTATAATCATAGTTCAGTGAATGTTAATTATTTTTCTATTTTAGAGGAGAATTTGATATTTGATCTTCCCCAGACCATTTTGGATCAACTCTTAGGACTTTATTTTCAAAATTGAATGGTATTTAGTTTATCTAATGTTCATACATAACGGTATTATTCAAGGTAGCCAAAGTTGGAAGCAACCAAGTATCTGCTTAGAATGGAAAAAAATTGTGACACATGCTGTAACACATGAATGAACCTTGAGGACATTACACTAAATGAAATAAGCCAGTCACAAAACGACAAATACTGTATGATTCCACTTTCATGAGGTACCTAAAGTAGTCAATTTCATAGATAGGAAGCAAAATGGTAGTTGCCAGGGGCTGAAGGGAGAAATGGAGAGCTGCTTAATGAGTAGTTTCAGTTTTGCAAAATGAAGAAAAGTTCTGGAGATTGGTTGCACAACAATGTAAATATATTTAACTTTACTCAACTGTACACTTAAAATATGGTCAGATGGGCCGAAACCGGTTTGGCTCAGTGGATAGAGCGTCGGCCTGCGGACTGAAAGGTCCCAGGTTCGATTCCGGCCAAGGGCATGTACCTGGGTTGCGGGCACGTCCCCAGTGGGAGATGTGCAGGAGGCAGCTGATTGATGTTTCTAACTTTCTATCTCTCTCCCTTCCTCTCTGTGAAAAATCAATAAAATATATTAAAAAAAAAAAATATGGTCAGATGGTTAATCTTATATGTATTTTACCAAAACTAAACAAACCAAAACCTAACAATCTCTGGTTTCTGAGAACACTAGATTATACTGCAAAAAAAAAGGATGCAGATTCTTTCGAAATCTATGCATCAAAAGCATACTTCAAGTGTATTAAGAGAGCTCTCTATTCAAAATCTCCTACCTGTACATTTATACAACATGCCCGTCATAGTTCCAGCTGCTACTGTATTGAGGTCATCTTCTGCACCTCGTGTTTTCTCAATGATGACACCAAATGCACTATAAAGCAAAGCTACAGGGGAAATGGAACTGATCAGTAATACAATGGTGATTAAGAATCAGAATAGAAATTATACTTAGATAAATGTATCCTACAGTCATCATTCCGTAAGTATTCCTTTGGGTATAAAGAGTGATCACTCAGCCATTCTGTTCTACCCAGACTTTCTTAGATTTAGCATCAAAGTTCCCATGTACCAGGCACACCAGTTGAAAAATTGCTGCATTAACCCTTTTTCTTACCTGTTCTCAAACTCAAAACTGCCACATTTGACCCCTCCACCCCACCCTACGTAATACTCCCCATGCCCCTCCCCCCTTCGCCCCCCTGCCAAGCCCATATGACTTGTAACCTGTAATGATTACCCTGGGCCCACTTTCCCATGTAATCTTTGTCCTCCTACCCAATATAAGCAGCTGGCTTATGGTGGAGGGCAGAGCAGATTTTTGTGGATGACCTGCTGCTTTCCCATGCTGCCAGCAGGATCACTTGAACAATGTTTGTAATAGCAAAAGCCTGGCAACAACTAAAATGCCCATCAGGAAGAGACTGGTCCAGAAAGGGACTTTCCATATGATGGAATGCTATGTATACTCACTTAAAACAAAAAGAAGGACGAGCTATAGTCACTAATCTAGGCATGTGACTATGACTCTGGATATGCAAAGAAGGTATTTGGAAAGGTTCATGATTTTATTTGGTGTTGTGTTTGGATAGGAGAGTACTTAGAGGGTTTTTTTTTAGAGTTTTAAAAGATTTGAAACATTCAGAAATGGTATACAAGATGGTATTAGAACCTTGGGATTATTTTATGTAGCTCCTGTTCTTCCTAGAATTTAAAACATTTTGGTTGATCAAATTGTTCATGATATGTGTACATTCTTTCTTTTCATTAATAATTTATTATCAAGTGAAATCTTTACTTACCCAGAGAACCTAGAGTATTAGCCCAAAGTGCCCCTTGCCTCGTCACCATGTTCAAAATCCTACAAGGGCAGAAAGACAAAAAATCTGTATTTAGAATTATTATTTCCTCTAGTAATGTGAAAAACCATAATTGCAGCTATTTAAAAAGTATAAATCTAATTCCAAGTTTTCTTCATGAAAAAAACTTAATACCTCCTCAGAATTGAGTAAGAATGGCTTTTACTTTATAGAAATATAAATGAAGGTGTGTTAAAAATGCCAACCATTGTGAGTAACAAGTAAGGAAATTTCTTACATATATAAGATTATTAAATATATATCAAACACATAAAGGCTTTGAATGACAGCCTGAAATGTATTTTTATAAGAAGTTTACAGAAACACAAAAAGAAAAAAAGTTTATAGAAACCAACATGGCCATTATAATGAACAAAGTAGCATACAATTAAGGTTTTTTTGGGGGGAGGGGTATATGTTGAGAATATTAAGTAGATCAAATCATGGAATATTATAGAAGACTAGGGGCCCGGTGCACGAAATTCGTGCACTTGGGGTGTGTTGTGTGTGTGGGCCTGCTTCCTCTTGCAGTCCTGGAGCCCTTGGGGGATATATGACTGACCGGGCTCCGCCCCCCACCCAGGCCCCCGCCCAGGCCTGATGCCTTGGCCAGAGGAGTTGACCCTCATCACCCTCCGATCACCAATCACCGGATTGGCCCCTTGCCCAGACCTGAGGCCTCTGGCAGAGGTGTCAGGCCTGGGCAGGGGACCCCCAGCTCCCTGCGGTTGCAGGCTCCGCCACTGCCCAGGCCTAACGCCTCTGGCCGAAGCATTAGGCCTGGGCAGGGGATCCCCAGCTCCCCGCGGTTGCAGGCTCCGCCCCTGCCCAGGCCTAACGCCTCTGGCCTAGGCGTCCGGCCTGGGCAGTGGGGACCTGCAGTGGCTGCGGGAGGCGCCGCGATCGCATGGGCTCCGCCCCTGCCCCTGCAGGACGCCTCTGGCTGAGGTGTCCGGCCCGGGCAGCGGGGACCCGCAGCTGCAGCGGCCCCGCGATTGTGGCCTTCGCTTTAGGCCCAGGCAAGGGACCCCTAGCTCCTGGGACTGCCAACTTCGACCGTGCCCAGCTCTCATCGCTGGCTCCACCCCTACTTCCTGCTATCACTGGCTAGGGTGGCAAAGACACCTCATTCTCCGATCATGGCTGGGGGGCCATGCCCTGCCCCCCAGCTCTTAGCTCCCTCCTGGGTTTCCGATCACTGTCAGTGGCAGGGGGCTTCTTCCTGCTTTCCCTTTCGTCTCCCTGCATTGTGCCTACATATGCAAATTAACCGCCATCTTGTTGGCAGTTAACTGTCAATCTTAGTTGGCAGTTAATTTGCATATAGCCCTGATTAGCCAATGAAAAGGGTATTGGTCATACGCCAATTACCATTTTTGTCTTTTATTAGATAGGATAGGGCAGAATTAAAAATAAGTATGTACTCGAAGAGAAGGAAAAAACAAACCAGAACCCATGGAGAAAGCACGCTGTGTCTGCTCCCACACTAGAACTAAGCAGCCAAAGTGGATGCTTAGCACACTCTCAAGGAAGCACAGTTCTGCCTTGCACCAGTGCCTGATGCCACCAGAACAGTGACAGGGGCAACTGGAGGCAGAAGACAGGACATTTCTCTCCCAGCAGTGTAACACCATCACAGGAACAATCTGGACAGCTGACTACTGCTGGGTATTATAGAATTATAGTAGCAAACAAAAAAAACACAACTAAATATTAATGCTCAATGATAAAAATTTGTATTATAAAAGGTTGTTTATAGAGCAGTATATTGTTTTAATTATTTACCACGTTGTTTAGCACGTTGTTTTTACATTTGTCACAAGCCTTTTAAAAAAATTGTCAAACAGAAACCACTCTTTTTTTGATTGATTTTTAAACAGAGGAAGAGAGGGGAGAGAGAGAGACAGAAACATCAATGTGAGAGAGAAACAATGAGCGGCTGCCTTCGTCATGTACCCGGACGAGGGATCAAACCCGCAACTTGGGTTTGTGCCCTGACCAGGAATTGAGCCAATGGCCGGAAAGTGCATTGGACAACACTCATCAGCTAAGCAACACTGACTAGGGCTGTCACAAGCTTTAAAAACTATTAATTTTCATAGTATTGTACTGCTGATAGCACTGTAAATTGGTAAAATTCTTTGGGATGCAACTGGGCACCGTACCTCCATATATTGGGCCTTTACTTCTAACTTTAATCATCTCTCAACAATCTTTATAGGCAGACAGTATGGAAAGCTTATCTAAGATTACAAAATAGCAAGTAATAGAACTAGGCTTTGAAGATACATAGATCTGTTTAGCTTGAAACCCTATCTTTTTCCCATTTTTAAATGCTGTCTCCTTGTCTAGGAAGAGCAGCATGATTATGTAAAAAACGGTGTGAAAGATTTCTAAAAAATGAAAACTAATTTGACTCTCTAAAAATTAATAATGTTACTGTTTTAAAAAACAAAGGTTATTTTTTCTAGAGCTTCCAAATAAATATTTAATGATAGAACACTGGGAATTAGTTTCATAATAATATGGAAGGGAAGAAGGAGATGGGACATAATTGGTCTTGGTTGATGGCTACTGAGCATAAGTTATGGTTCATAGGTGTTCACTGTACTATTTTGCCTACTTTTATATACATTCCAAATTTTCCACAACACAAAAAGTAAAAAAAAAAATTATCGGAGTAAGGAACAAATATTAAGAATATATATATACACACACACACATACACATATACGCATATGTGTGTGTGTGTGTGTGTGTGTATGTATATATATATATGAATAGTCAAGAATCTTGGCTAGTAAAGCAAGGGCAACGATCAACACAGTAACAGGAATTAACCTTCAAATTCCCCAAGGTCTAATTCTAACAGACACCTGCTGCCATCTGCTGGTTAAACAACAAATAATGCAGATGGAGTTTCAAGTGTTCTATGTGAGCCAAGGAAGAATATATGTAGCCCAGCTGGTGTGCTCAGGAGTTGAGTGTAGACCCAAGAACCAACAGTTGCTGGTTCAATTCCCTGTCAAGGCACTTGCCCAGGTTGTGGCATCACTCCCCAGTAGGGACTTTGCAGGAGGGAGCCAACTGATGATGTTCCTCTCTCATACATGTTTCTCTCTCTCTATTCCCTTCCCTTCCTCTCTCTCTAAAAAAATCAGTAACAATAAAAAATAAGACAACAAGACTCTCATTACAAAAAAGAATATATGTATACTGTGATTTCACTCATATCAAGTATAAAAACATACAAAACTAAACAATATATTAAGCAGCCGTGGGCAAACTATGGCCCGCCGGCCCGTTTGAAACGAATAAAACTAAAGAAAAAAAAGACCGTACCCTTTTATGTAATGATGTTTACTTTGAATTTATATTAGTTCACACAAACACTCCATCCATGCTTTTGTTCCGGCCCTCCGGTCCAGTTTAAGAACCCATTGTGGCCCTCGAGTCAAAAAGTTTGCCCACCCCTGATATTAAGGGAATGTCAACAGGGACCGGTCATGTTTATTTCTTAAGCTGGGTGAAGATATATATTATATACACTGTCTGATCTTCTTAATTGTACTTTCCCTTTTTTGCAAAATAATTTTCTTAGAAAACTGTCTTATTCCTTCTGGAACTACCTCTAAGTTCTAGGAATTTGATTTAAATTTTCTGTAGCGTTCCACTTCAGAAGTGGAAGTGAAGTTAAATTTAAGTCAAGTAATAGTGAATCTAGCAATCACTCTTATGTCCTTTTTATTTCTTCACTACCCTATGGTTCTGGATGCCCCTGAACAATCCAAATAATATAATCATTCAGAAATTTGAAAAGCAGGTTTTGTAGGCCTGCAGAATGAAACAGGTGTAGCTGAGAAGTTAGGATGGGGTAGCACTAGCTGACTGAGGGACACTGGCTCAAAAATCATTCCTTTTAAAAGCTTAAGAGTCACTAACTCGATTTCTTAGTTCCTTTTATTTTGACTAAGAAAAAGAATGACCAAAAAGTTTATCAATACTCTCAACATTTATAATCACAAGATAGTGCTCATCAAGCTGACACAGTAGCAGTTAATAGTCAACATTACCACATCAGATGATTACATGAGACTTACTGTACGTTTCTTGGTTTGGACCAGGCCATGTTCTGGGTTTCTTTCAATCCTAGCCGTAGACCGTTCATTGCCCCAAATGCAGCCCCTAGTAAATCATAGTTAACAGTTCATCCAAATAATACATCTTTATATTTAAAAACAACTGCACTTTTGATTTTTTCATTTTTTATATAACAGAAAAAGATGAAAAACGTAAAATATTCTAATTGCTTTTGATTTTAAGCATCTTTGACTACTTAGATTAAGAACACTTAAAAAATTTATTACACCCACCTGTCATACAACATCCTCCAATGGTGAAAAAGGCCAGTTCAAATCTGCCCCGGGTTTTATTAGCTCCGGTTGGTAAAATAAACTCATCTGTATCCTAAAGGAGTAATAATGAAAACAAAGCTGAGCTCCTCTCAAGACAGAGTACTTGCAGAGTGTTTTTTAATTTGTTAAAGTAGTTTTTCACAGAAAGTATCATCTTAAGTTATCTAAAACTTAACTATACTTAAACAAAAATAAAACTTTCTGCAACAACAGCAACATCTAAATCAAAGTGAAATGAAATATACAACATATATAGTTATGCACCTGCATTCTTAGGAAGGATCCTTGTTCAGAACTGTGCTTCTCAATGTAAATTTTACAGATTGCATGTAATTTGCCTTATCTCTATATACGAAAGCCTAAGCGACCGTTATGACCGAACTGCCAGAACGACAGACCAGTTGCTATGACGCGCACTGACAACCAGGGGGCAGACGCTCAATTCAGGAGCTGTCCCCTAGTGGTCAGTGCACTCCCACAGCCAACTGCTTGAAGTCCCTCCCCTCAGCCAGCCGGCCCCCATCAGTCCCTGTTGCTAAACCATTCGGAGAGACCTGCTTCTGGGTTGGTGTTTCATACGTAGCAGAGCAGCTCCCTCACTGCAATCTAATGAAAGTCAGCCCTGGACACAAGGATTTGTCTCGCTCCCTTCCTCTCCCTTCCCTGGAAGCTGCCTGCCTGCCTGCCGCAGTGGTGATGCAGCAGCAAGGGAAGGAGGAGGGGGGAAAGGCGGGGTGCTGATGGCAGTGTCACCTCCTCTCCCCACCCACCGGGGCCTTTAGGCTCTGGGCTGGGCTGGGGAACCAGGGGTGGGTTGTGGTGGACACGGCCCCTTTCCCAACGGGGCTGAGGGCTGGCTCCCTCCTTGGGGCCAGCGGCCAACCTCCCATGGTCCCCTGCCCCCATGCACGAATTTGTGCACCAGGCCTCTGGTGTAATAATAAATTTGAAGCAACAGTGCAACAGTTTAGGAAGAATAGCCCTAGAGAAAGGTAAAGTGAAAGCTATGAGAAGTAACCATTTATTCTTAAAAGTCTGAAAGGATAAAAAAACTTTCATTCCATATCAAACACCATTTTATGATGTGTAAGAGCAAATGATCATTAAAAAAAATGAGCAGAAACTATAAAAGCACAACAGTTTGGATCAGTTATGCAAGGACAAAATTACCTTAATAATTATTCCTTTGATAATCTTACAAAGAAAGCTATAGACCCTCTTTCCAATAAACGCATACACAAAATTTGGTATGAACCAAACCCTAGGATAAGAAATGCTATTCTAATAACACTACATGATTAATTGTGCAATAAAATACATTCTTTTTTTAAAAAATATATTTTATTGATTTCTTACAGAGAGGAAGGGAGAGGGATAGTTAGAAACATCGATGAGAGAGAAACATCTATCAGCTGCCTCTTGCACACTCCATACTGGGGATGTGCCCGCAACCAAGGTACATGCCCTTGCCTGGAATCAAACCTGGGACCCTTTAGTCCGCAGGCCGACGCTTAGCCACTGAGCCAAACCGGTTAGGGCAATAAAATACATTCTTATAAAGGACAAGTTCAATACATTTTTCCAAGCTCTCCACACAAAAATGATTAGAAAAAGCCCCTGAAGGACAGTACATACACATTTAGCAACTCTCTAACTTCCTTGTGAAATGCTGATCTTTTTTAGTAAGTGCATTCCCGATTAGGAAAATCATATCTCTGCACTGGATTTTGATTTTTGCCTTATGCATATATTCTCAGCAAAAATCGCACAAATAAGCAAACACATCTACTCTTACCACACAAAAATGGTTGGTTGGGCAATAAGCATACACTGGAATAGATGGCATACCATGAATAATATTCATACACGAGAGGCCCAGTGCATGAAAATTCATGCACTGGTATGTGTGTGTGGGGGGTCCCCTCAGCCTGGCCTGCCCCCTCTCAGAGTCCAGGAGCCATCAGGGGATGTCCTACTGACGGCTTAAAACCAGTGCAGAGCTATGATTTTCCTAATCAGGAATGCACTTACTAAACGAAGGTCCCATGGGGAGCGGGCCTAAGCCACAGTCTGGCCTCCATTTGCGGGAGGCGACCGGGCCAATCAGGGGAAGGTGCTGCCCCCATCACCCCGCCACCGCTGCTGCGGCCTGCCCTCGGCCCTCGAAGCCCCCTCGGCTTTGTCTGGAAGGACGGTTGGCTATCAGGTCTAATTAGCATATTATGCTTTTATTACTAGATTATTAGACAGTTTTGTAAATTTTGGGTGCTTCCTGAATTTCAAATTAATGACTTAATTTTAAATTATGCTTCTGGCTTGAGGTTTTTAGAAATGTGACATTTGATTTGATGAGGTAAGTAATTATCTTTCAATCAAAAAATGAGTCATTAATTACAAATAGGTAATTTAAAAAATGGCCGTGATGAACATTAGTAAGTACAAATGCATGTCATTACCAACTTACTCTTTGTTAGGGTCAACTATACTAAAAAGACGATGAGGATTGAAAGCAAATATACTTCATTCATATATAGTGACTTGAAAATAATGTGATGGTTACTTGTCACTGGGGCTTTTAAAGTTAATAAAAATGTACTGTTTCACCCTAGCCCGTGTGGCTCAGTTGGTTGGAACGTCATCCTGTACACTGAAAGGTCTTTGGTTTGATCCCTATTTGGGGCGCATGCAGGAGGCAACGGTTGATGTTTCTCTCTCACATCAACATTTCTCTGTTCTCTTTCTAAAACAAACAAACAAACATGTCCTCAGGTGAGGATTAAAAAAAAAAAGTACTGTTCCATATAACAAAACTTTTCAAAGATTTTGAGGGAGTAGACCCTGGTCAAGGATTAATTACATTAATTTGGGTTGGGGGAGGAAGCCATGAAATTAAAGCTCTTGGTTTCTATAAAAATATGATTACCAATTTTTCCCTCCTGAATTGTCTTCATACCCTTGTTGAAAACCTACTGACTATAAATGTGAAGAATTTATTTCTGGCCTCTCAATTTTATTTTGTTGATCTATATATAGAGCTATCCTTGTGCCAGCACCACAATGTCTTAATTACTGTAGCTTGGGAATCAGTTTTGAAATTGGGATGTGTGAGTGCTCCAATTTGCTCTTCTTTTCCAGATTGTTGGCTATTTTGTATCCTTTGTATTCTCATATGTATTTTAAAATCAGCCAATTTCTGCAAAAAAGCCTGCTGAGATTTTGATAGAGGCTGTTGAATCTGCAGGTTGATTTGGAAATTACTGTTATTCTAACAATATTAAACCTTCTAAGAAACTGGAATACCTTCAATTTATTTGTCTTAAGTTTTTTCAATAATGTTTTATAGTTTTCAAAGTACAAATTTTGCATTTTTATTGAATTTAGTCCTGCTTTTTAATTTTTTTATATCATTGTAAATGGAATTGTTTTTGCACTTTCATTTTTGTGGTGTCCATTGCTATTATATAGAAATATAATTAATTAGGTATACTGATCTTGTGTGATTCTACATTGCTGAAATTCTAAATTAAAACTAAGTTTTTTGTGGTGTCCTTAGGATTTTCTTTTTTAAATATATTTTTATTGATTTCAGCAAGGAAGAGAGATAAACATCAATTATGAGAGAATCACTGATAAGCTGCTCTTGCAAGCCCCCTAACTGGGAATCCAACCATGATTTCCTGGTGAATAGGATGACACTCAAACACTGAGCCATGCCGGCTGGACCCTTAGGATTTTCCATACACAAGATCATGATACCTTCAAATAGATAGTTTTACTTCTTCCTTTATCAATCTGGATGCCATTCATTCTGTTGCCTAATTGCCCTGGTAAGACAATGCTGAAGAGAGTGGATATCCTTGTCATGTTCCTTATTAGTGGGAACATATTGAGATTTTCACCATGTTAGCTTTGGCTTTTTTCCCCCGCATGAGTTCTCTCTGGATTTTTTTTAAACTTCATTTTTATTGTTGACACTATTACAGATGTCCCCATCCCCACTCCCATTCCTTTGTCCACCGTCACCCAGTCCCATAGCTTTGGAAATTTTGATTAAAAAAACCTTATCAGATTGAAGACATTCCCCTTTATTCCTAGTTTATTGTGTGTGTGTGTGTGTGTGTGTGTGTGTGTTTTAAACACAAAGGAATGTTGAATTTGATCGAACGCCTTTTCTGCATCTATTGAGCTAATCGTGTAGTTTCTTTTCTTTGCTGATATGGCACAGTACAATGACTTTCAAATGTTAAATCAACCTTGCATTCCTGAGATATCTAACAAAACTCTTTGAAGTTTCTTGATCAGTTTAATCCAATATCCTAATAAAAAACCAACCAACCAAAAAACCCAAAACAGCTCAGTTTGAGTGGCTCAATTGGTTGAGCATTGTCCCAAGCACCAAAAGGTTACTGGTTTGATTCCCGGTCACGGCACATATCTGGTTTGTGGGCTTGATCCCCAGAGGGGGGCAGTATAACGGGAGGCAGCCATCAATGCTTCTCTCTTTCTAAGCATGTCCTCTGGTGAGGATTAAAAGAAAAGAACAAAACGAAACCCAAAACAATAGAATACTGAGGCCAATGTGTAAACCTTAAAATGTATAACCCTAATTTCAAGTATTCATGCATAGACTCATGAATAATATTAATAATCTGATCTAATAAAATAAGCTCAAGTAATTAAGTACTTTTTTTATATATGTAAGGATTTAAGATTTCATTTAAAGATTTCCAGGTTATAGTTCCTCATTTGTGTTTAACTTACTATTATTTCTTATAACTTTACTAAGGCCCAGTGCACAAAATTCGTGCACTGGTAGGGTCCCTAGGGGCTGCCACCTGGCTACTCCTTCCCTTCCCTCAGCTGGCCCTGCCTATGGTCGAACTCCCGGTTGAGGGGACAATTTGCATACTATGCTTTTATTACATAGGATAAAAAATCATGCCAATATTTTTACTGGAATGCTATTCATTTTTCTTTTATTTTTTCCATCACCATTTGTCCTTCCTATACCCTTACATTCCTTTTCCCTCCCACTGCAATCACCAGTTTTTCATGTCCACAAGTTCTCTTTTTGCTCAATCCCCTAACCACCAGAGCTATCTGCTTGCTATCTTTAAGTCTGTTTCAATTTTGCTTGTTAGACCAGTTTGTTCATTAAATTCCACATGAGTAAAATCATATGGTACCTGTTTTTTTCTGAATGGCTTATCTCACTTAGCATGATATTCTCCAGGTCCATCCATGCTGTTGCAAAGGGTAAAATTTTCTTCCTTTTTACGGGCGAGTAGTATTCCATTGTGCAAATGTACCATAGTGGTTTTATCCACTCATCTACTGATGGATACTTGGGCTGCTTCCAAATCTTGGCTATTGTAAATAACACTGCAATGAACATAGGGATGCATATATTCTTTCAAATTAGTGTTTTGGGTTTCTTCAGATAAATTCCCAGATGTGGAACTGCTGGGACATAAGACAGTTCCATTTGTGTGGTTTTTTTTTTAAAACCTCACCTGAGAATATTTTTCCATTAATTTTTAGAGAGAGGGAAAGACAGAGAGGAGTTTATTGATTTCAGAGAGAGGAAGGGAAAGGGAGAGATAGATAGAAACATCAATGACGAAAGAGAATCATTCATCAGCTGCCTTCTGGGGATCAAGCTGCAACCCAGGCATGTGACTTGATTAGAATTGAAATGTTCATTATAGTCCATATGTGAGTGAGATCATATGGTATGTGTCTTTCTGACTGGCTTATTTCACTTAGCATGATATTCTCCAGGTACATCCATGCTGTTGCAAAGGGTAAAATTTTCTTCCTTTTTACGGGCGAGTAGTATTCCATTGTGCAAATGTACCATAGTGGTTTTATCCACTCATCTACTGATGGATACTTGGGCTGCTTCCAAATCTTGGCTATTGTAAATAACACTGCAATGAACATAGGGATGCATATATTCTTTCAAATTAGTGTTTTGGGTTTCTTCAGATAAATTCCCAGATGTGGAACTGCTGGGTCATAAGACAGTTCCATTTGTGTGGTTTTTTTTTTAAAACCTCACCTGAGAATATTTTTCCATTAATTTTTAGAGAGAGGGAAAGACAGAGAGGAGTATTGATGTGAGAGAAACAAATCAATTGGTTGCCTCCTGCATGCATCTTGATCAGGGCCCAGGCAGGAACCTGCAACTGCCCTTCACTGGAATTGAACCTGGGCCCCTTCGATCTATAGGCCAACACTCTATCCACTGAGCCAAACTGACTAGGGCCATTTTTAATTTTTTAAAAATGTATTTTTATTGATTTCAGAGAGGAAGGGAAAGGGAGAGATAGATAGAAACATCAATGACGAAAGAGAATCATTCATCAGCTGCCTTCTGGGGATCAAGCTGCAACCCAGGCATGTGACTTGATTAGAATTGAAAGTGGGACCCTTCAGTCCGCAGGCCAATGCTCTACCAACGAAGCCAAACCAGCTAGGATGGAACAAAATATTTTTATATCATGCATTTGATAAGGGGACATAATATTCAGAATATATAGAAAACTCAACAAAAAAAGACGCAATTTAAATGTGGACAAAGGACTTGAACAGACATTTCTCCACAGGAGATATAAATGCAAATCATAACTACAATGAGTTACTACGTCATACTCATTAGGATAGCTATGATAAAAAAACAAACCCAGAAAATAACAAGTGTTGACTAGGATATAGAGAAATTGGAGCCCTTGAACACTGTTGGTGGGAATATAAAATAGCATAGCTGCTGTGGAACACAATATGGCAATTTTTCAGAAAATAACGGATTACCACATGATGCCGCAATTCCACTCTGGCTGTATAATAAAAAAAATTAAAAGAAGGGTCTGAAAGAGGTATTTATATTTATACACCATGTTTATAGCAGCATTATTTGCAATAGCTAAAATATGGAAGCAATACAAGTGTCACAGACAGATGAATGGATAACCAAAATGTAATATTATTCAATGGAATGAGATGCTAAATAAAATAAGCCAGTCATAAAAAGACAAATACTATATGATTCCATTTATTTGAGGTACTTAGAGTATACAGAATCAGAGACAGAAGGGTGATTGTCAGGGTTTGGGGGGAGAGTGGAATGAGGAGTTATTTTGTAATGGGTACACTAGTCCTCCCTTATCCACGGGTGATCTGTTCCAAGATCCCCAGTGGATGCCTGGAACTGTGAATAGTACTGAACTCTATACCTGCTATTTTTTTTTCCTGTACTTATGACAGTTTAATTTATAAAATAGGCGCAGTAAGAGATTAACAACAACTACTAATACAACAGAACAATTTTAACAATACACTGTATTAAGTTATGTGAATTATGTGGGTCTTTCTCTCTCTGATAACAGAAAAGGCTACTAAGTGACTAAGAGGAGGGTAGCATATATAGTGTCAATCTGCTGAACAAAGGGATGATTTATGTCCTATGCGGTATGAAGTGGGAGATTTCATCACACTATTCAGCATGGCCTGTGATTTAAAATTTATAAATTGTTTGTTTCTGGAATTTTTAAATTTAATATTTTCAAAGTTAATCATGGGTAACTGAAACCACAGAAAGTGAAACTGCGGGAAAGGGGGGACTACAGAGTTTCATTTTTTACAAGATGCAAGAGTTATGGATATAGTAGGTGGTGATGGTTGTATAAATGTATTTAGTGACAGTGAACATAACACTTAAAAACAGTTATATAGCAAATTTTGCTAGTGTTATTTTACCACAATTTAAAAAATATGGGGGAAAAACCAAACCCCAAAACCTTTTAAAGAGATTTAATCAACTAATGTCAGGGAGAGTTGCAAGCCAAATCCCTAGGGTTTATGAGAAAAAAGGGTGAATAGATACCAGAGAACTGGTGCCTCCAAAAATACATATTACAGATCAGGTCAGCATAAATACCTAACATTTAAAATTTTTTAATGGTAAGCACCTAACTAGTAAAACCATAAAAGGACTAGTCTTAATCTTACCTGCACGAGATACCGTGGATCCACATTTAAATAAGGAGAGAGAGGATTCATACCAGTCACTAGAAGAAAACAAAGCATCATATTGCAACAAGAAGTTTAAAGTTATTTAATTTAGCATTAATTGTGCTCTTGTTTCATGTTTTGCAATTTTGACTCACAGACTCACTGAATGTGATATTTCCTCTCACTTTTCTATGCTTATCCTTCTTGTCTGGCAGTTTTGGGGCTACCTCCTCCTATTGCCTTCAATCCCAAACCGGGTATTACAGTGGTGGCTCAGGCACCCACACATATAAGGAAGCACAGCCCAGGTCAATTAGAAAGCTAATTTCTTTCTCCTTTGCTACAAGAGTGCTTGCCAACTATACAAATTGCAAAATGAAACTGACAAGAAACCAAATAATTCCATGGGAGAAACAGTGTTTGGGCTGTGTGCTGTGAATAAATATTTCATGGCAGTTCCATGTTGACAGTTGCTGACAGAGTTGATTTACTATGGCAGGGTAGAGAATTTTCTGGCCATTACCACAGGGATGGGGGTTACGACGAGAGAAAATGGAAACGCAAGAGGGCCAGACTGGAATCCCACTAACTGAAGTTAGGAAAATAAACTTTCTCACACTTTAAATTTAATCTTTGGATCCTTCTGTATCTTAGTTGATTGTTCACAAATCTACGCATTTCCTATGACTCTGGTCTTTTCATCAACTGAAAGTCCTAGTAGTTCCGATTCAATAGCTATCTTGTATTGTGTCAGTTACCACTGTCTTTATTGGCACCATCCTAGTCCATTAAATCTCACTAGACTACAGTAGTCCCTTCAATTCACTTAAAAAACAAAATCCTCATCTAAGGATATTTTTCCATTGATTTTTAGAGAGAGTGGAAGAGAGAGAAACACATTGATTTGGCTGCCTCCTGCACGCGCCCTGAGGGCCCAGGCCTGGGAGGAGCATGCAACCCAACCGAGGTAGTGCCCTTGACCGAATCGAACCCCGGACCTTTGATTCGCAGGGATTCACAGGCCGACGCTCTCTCCACCGAGCCAAACCCTATCCACTGGGCCAAACAGGCTAGGGCCCTTGAATTCACCTTCTACATAGCAACGAACGTGATTTAAGAAACAAAACGGAGATCAGTCTGAATGGCGGCCATTTACACTTACAAATGCGAACGCCTCACCATGGCTCACAAACACTACGTTAGCTGCCATTCCTTGCCCCTCTGCTCAGCATCTCCTACCGCTCCAGCTCTCTTGCAATTTTGTAGACACATCTAACAGTTGTTCCTCCAACACGCCGTTTGTTTTCTTCGCGGGACACAGGTACTAGACATTTTCAGTGGTATGTCTGCCTCCTCCCAGGCATTTGTATTCAGGCCACAGCCCAAATATCAACACCCTGAGTTGCTTTCCCTGACCCATTCTTAAATGGCTTCCTGCTTCCCGCACCATCTCCTGACCTGGCTTTGCGGCCTTTACGCACACTTAACGCTAACTGAAGTGCTTTTATTTGTTACTTTGCTCACTTCAGTAGGATGTAAACTCCATGAAAGCAGCGGCCTTACAAAGAAAAAAAAAAGAAATTAACTGCTTAGGTCCATTAAAGTCACTGGCTCGTTGTAGGTGCTCAATGACTGGTGTGCACCCTTCAAGCCCTCCCTCAGCCTTCAACCGTAGTCCAGTTAACACGACGACGCTGTGCCTCTGAGCTCCAACACCAGCCTCCTACGATGTACATAAACTGTGTTCTAGGTGCAGTTTTGACGCAGGTGACACTAGGAACTGTAAAAGGTTTTTTTTTGTTGTTCTTGAGCATTAAAGGACCTAGAGAAACTCAAGAATTATCAAAAAGAAAACAGTTTTTTCAAGCCGTTATCCTCCACCAAGTCCCTACTATCTTTAAGTCCGAGTTCTCCTCATCCCACGCCGTCCGGAGGGTCTGGAGTCCATGTTCCTGGGAACGAGGAGGGGCAAAGGCACGGTGTTCACGCTTCTGCACCTCCGCCTCGCACACGCCTTTCCCGAAAGTCTTCCTTCTCGCCGGGGACCTGCAAGCTCAGCTCACCTCCAGCCCCGCCCGGGTCCCGGCTCCTCTCTCTCGGTCGCCTCCCTGTACCATTGAGGATCCGACCTGACGGCGACTTTGTGGGGTAGAAGAGGCGGCTTTGCGCTAAAAGGTTTTCTACGGGATCCTGTTTGGAATACATTTACGGGCAGAGCTGGGCCCCCCTCTTAACGTAGGGCCGAATACACAGCCCACCACACGAGGAGATGAACGTGTGGGAGGAGAGATACGGCACGAGGCTCGGATACGGAAGGAAGGAAACGTGCAACATCTCTGAGCCCTCATCAGCTTGCGGGGACCCATGGCCCCCAACATCTGCTCGGTCTTGACGGGGCGGCAGAGACACACCAACCGCACCACGGCCACTGCGGACCGTGAGCACCAACAAGTGAGAGAGGGCAGGGCAGCCGCACGCCGGGCCGAGTCGCAGAAACGATCACGAGCCGCGCGCGGTACTTACGCGGGACTCCGGCCAAATCCGCGTGCGAGTAACCAGCTCCGCCGGCTCCGAAAAAGCCGGCCAACCCCCCGGTGGTCTTGTTGCCGCTTCCCCCGCCGCCCTCCATGGCCTCGCCGCAAACTGCCCGTCGGCCCCTCACCACCGCCTCAGGCCGCGGTCGCCCGTCCGGCCGTCGCTCTTCAGTAACAGCGGGGAGACGCGCGTTACCACCGACTCCTTCACACGCTGACCTTCCGGGCGCCGGTGTCCGCTAAGCCTCATACTTCCGCTTTGCGACGTGGTACGACCCGGAAGCCGGCCGCGCCTGACGGCAGTTTTCCGGTGGTGGGAAAGTGAACGGAGCCCGAGTCGGGGCGGCGCATCCTGAGGCAGGCGGGTTCCCCGCGGAAGAGGGAAGGCAGGCGGCGGGGGAGGGCCTGGCTTGGGCAGCCGGCGGAGGAGCAGCTGCAGAAGCAGGCAGCGCAGAGAGGGGATGGTGCCCGGCGGCGCCGAGAAGGAGGCGCAGTCCGTCCCGCAGGGTTAGTGAACGAGGCTGTCCGCCCGGGCCGGCCGGGGACTGTGCGGTGCGGGTCCCAGCATGAGTTCGGGCCCCGCCTGTGAGCCCCGCATCAAGCGACCCCGGTGGGGCGCCTCTGAAACTTCTCCGCCGGCCGCCTCCGACGCCCGGAGCTTCCCCGGCGGGCAGAGGCGCGTCCTCGATCCCAAGGACGCTGCTGTGCGGTGCAGGGTCCCACCCTCCTCGCCAGGCGGCGTCCCGGGGTGGGCGGGACCGCACAGAGGCAGCACCACCTCGCTTGGTACGTGGGGAAATAAAGATCTCTGCCCTTCGCCTCGGCCCCAACCTCCTCTTGGGCTCCGTGGGGACCCAGGGACTCCAGTCACCCCTTCTGGTCTAGTGTGCACCGCTCCGAGGTCCCCTTACTGAGCCACGAAGGTGGGGAGATGGGGTCACGTTTTTCCTGTCATGGTGTGAGAAGCCCTGATGAGCCGTCCCCGGGCGGAAAATGACAGGAGACTCCGCCCGTCTGCTTTACTCGGGTTTGACGTGAGAAATTGTCTTAGGCGTTAAGGAGGTGTAATTGTGTATGTGAACCTTCAACCTCTCGATGGAGAGAAACTATAACGCAACTTCCCTCAGCTCAGATTCTGGCTCCAGGGGCGCAGAGCTGTTCCTTTTAGCCGGTGCTGTGCTCAACTCTGGCGTGCGGGGTTGAACCAGACCATTTGGCCTCTGTCTTCAGGCCCCAAAACTTTTCAGGAGAGAGAGACAGTTACATAATAAAGGGTAATGGGTGTTTTGATAGGTGGCAGGAATCCCTAGTCCAGTCTAGGATCAAGGACAGTCTCCCAGAAGATGAGATGCTTGCTCTCAGGCCTGAAGAATGAGGACTGCGGAGTCAGCTAGGTGAAGAGGAAGGAAGGAGGCACTCCCGCAGGCAGCGGATAAACTGTCAAGAGGGAGAGAGTGAGAGATGAGACCGAGAGCTAGGCAAAGACCAGATCATATTAGGACTTGCAGGGTTTTGCACTTTCAAGGCAAAGAGAGGCTGATAAAGGATTTTTGGTAAGGGAATGGCTTGATCATGTATAATCTTTTTGGGGCTTGGGATAAAGGTCCCCGTGCCTGGTGTGTGGATTGAAAGAAAGCAGAAGTGTAGGCCCAAGACTCATTAAAGGTTAATCTAGGTGGGAGAAAAGATGGTTTTATACTTAGCTGTGGGCAATAGGGAAGGGAAGAAGTGGTTCCATTTAGGAGAGAATGCAGTGTGTGGGTTTGTACTCAGAAGGAGTATATCTGTGCTGTAAATGAAGGTTTGGAAGTTTTTGGCATAAACATGATAATTGATGCTATGGAAGTTAGATCATAGAAAGCATGCAGAGGAAATAGAGGTGACCTAGGACAGAAACTTTCAGAAACTACCATTTAGAGTAGACTGAAGAGAAGCAGCCAGAGAAGTAGGGGGAGAGCCGGGCTTTTGTTGTGTCTCGTAGGGAAGATAGCATTTCAAAAAGGGGGTCAGGCAGTCCTCTAGTGAGTGGTGTACACTTCTCTCAGGATTTAGAGCAGCGTTTCTCAACCTGTGGGTCGCGACCCCTTTGGGGGTCGAACGACCCTTTCACAGGGGTCGCCTAAGACCATCGGAAAACACATCTATAATTACATATTGTTTTTGTGATTAATCACTATGCTTTAATTATGTTCAATTTGTAACAATGAAATTGAGGGTCACCACAACATGAGGAACTGTATTAAAGGGTCGTGGCATTAGGAAGGTTGAGAACCCCTGATTTAGAGGCAGTGGGGAGCAGACCTAAACTAAGTACTGAAAGATAAGCAACCAATATGCAAATCGTCCTACTGGTTACTATGATGTGCACTGACCACCAGGGGGCAGGTGCTCAATGCCAGAGCTGCTCCCTGGTGGTCAGTGCACTCCCACAGGGGGAGCACCACTCAGCCAGAAGCCAGGCTCACAGCTGGCAAGCGCAGCAGAGGTGGTGGGAGCCTCTCCCGCCTCCATGGCAGTCAGACATCCCCCGAGGGCTCCCCCACTGGGAGAGGGCATAGACCAGGCAGAGGCCCCTCCCCCCCACTTGAATTTTGTGCACTGGGCCTCTAGTTTACAAATAAAGGAGGAAAAGTTATTTGCAGGTGGCAGGGGGCAGGCAGTCCTCACTGGTTGGATTTTCTGATTTCCTGCAGAAGATGAACCAAATTAATACTTGGGCTATACTCTATGTGTGTAAATGTTTTCAGTATATCTGACACAGGATGCCAGTTAACAAAGTCTTCAAAGTCTAAATCTATCGAAAATTGTTGTTTCAAATTTTGGAATTTTTTTATGAACTTGGTATTTAGAATTTTTATGTATAGTTATCCTAGGAGAAGTAGGCAGGATAAGGAAGTGGGTATTTTTTCAGTGTCTTTAAATTTTGTGTTATTTATTTTCCTGGGCATAGTTCTTATATTGATTAAGATTTGTACATCTACATACAGCCAGAATCTAGCATGCCATTCATATTTTGATAGGGCCTGATTTGTCCAGTTGTGTTGGTGTGGGAGCTCCCTTTTTCTGTCTGTTATAACTACCTAGTTTCTCTCCCACTCCACGGATGGTGCAAGTGGTTAAAGACTCTGCCCTTCAACTGCACTGGAACACTTCATAGTTTTTTAATGAAATAATGTAGGCAGTATTTTGGTTCTACAGACTTGTCATTGTGGTACTGTTTCATGTTGGATACCATATTTATGGAAAAAGATGTTTTAAATTCTACACAGGCTCAAAAAGTGATTTTGTTTTGGGGGAACTCATTGCTGGTTTGTACTTTGAGGACTTTTTATACTTGCTGTATATGATATAATGAAATTAAATAGAGGAGGTGGAACTATAGAAAATGTCCCAGAATCAAGTGGTTCATCTCTTATTCCTTTCTGAAACTATTTTTTTTCTGAAGCCTCATTTGCTGTACTTAAGTAAATCACTAAAGTAGTGATATTTAACATGATATTTAAATATCACTAAAGTAGTGATATTTAACATATAACATGTTAATATTTAACATGAAATATTAAATATATGTAATTACTTTTTTGAAAGAAACTATTTTGAAAAAGCAAAACATTTTTACTAGATAGACTGTTAGTATTTTGTGGAAGGTTCAAATTATGTGGCACTTAATTACAGTGATAAATAAACTGTTGATTTTCATATATTTGGGACAGCATCTGTTAGCTCATGGTATTTGAGGGCCATATGTAGATGAAAATGAGTCTATGATTCAGTATGCCTAGATTCATTGCAGTTTAGACCAGTAGTTGAGACTGTTCAAGATTTTGTGTTTTTTTTAAAAATATATTTTATTGATTTTTTACAGAGAGGAAGGGAGAGCGATAGAGAGCTAGAAACATCGATGAGAGAGAAACATCGATCAGCTGCCTCCTGTACATCTCCCACTGGGGATGTGCCCGCAACCCAGGTACATGCCCTTGACCAGAATCGAACCTGGGACCTTTCAGTCCTCAGGCCGACGCTCTATCTACTGAGCCAAACCGGTTTCGGCAAGATTTTGTGTTTTTTATACTAAAATATTATATACATTTAATCTACATGAAGTACATTAACTTTTGAAAGCATGTTTATTTCTAATGCTTGTATAAGTTGTGGTTTGCGTTTATTTATGTTGCATCTCTCTCTACTGAGCTACTTTTGCTACTGTCTGCCGGTCTTTTCTATGTAGTTATCGCATTGGCAACTCAAATTTAGTATGTTCAGAATTGACCTAATTATATTTTCCCCCTAAATCCAGACCCCCCCCCCCGATTTCTATTTAATGCTGTCCCATCTTTTAACTCTGTTAAGCTTAAAACTTAGTGTCACCTTTGATTTCTATGATTGTGAAGTCTGTGATGACTCACTTCTCAACTTTTCCTCTCTATTCTCACAAGGATTAGTCTGGTCCTTGGCAGTAGTTCTCCAAACTAGTTGATCATCAAAATCATTTTTTGGAAAAAATACAGATTCTAGCTCCCCTCATACCTCCATCATCACACATACAGGCTCTGATTCAGTACGTGTGATGTGGCTCTGGGACCCACTTATTAGCAGCCTACCAGTGATTCAGATGGGTTCGGGATCCACTGACCTAGATCAGTAGTTTTCTTGCTGGTTTCTACCAATGTAGTTTCTTCTTGCCCCTTCAGATTTGCCTTCTAGGCTACATGTGTCATGCATTACTGGGACTTCCTTGTTTTGAATTCTGGAATTACAGCTCTGAGTGTGACCTTTGGCACTTTTTTTTTGTAATCCCAAGAGAGATACTATTCATTTGCATGTTTACAGGTAAGGAATCTGAGACAGAGAAAGGACCCTTCACAAAGTCACATAGGAATCTCTTGGGAGAGCCAGGATTTGAGTCCAGGTGGTCTGATTCTAGAGCCTATACGCTCATTCATTAGGCCATACCAACTCTTTTAGAGGCTGGTTGCTTTCTACTGTATGACACATGTATTTATATTTATGCTCCTGTATTATTTCCCATTGCTTGAGTGTGAAAGGAGTGAATGATCTTTTCAATCCACAGAACCTAGTATAATGCCTTACATGTGTATATGCTGTTATAAGTATTTTCTCTTTGAAGGTATGTATTCATTTACATTGATGTTTTGGGTGTTGTTGGTTTTTTTTTTTTTAACAGTTTTCAAACAAAAGACTATTACCAGTTGGATGGACACTAAAGGAATCAAGACAACTGAATCAGAAAGGTACAGAAACATATGTACATAGAGATATGAATGGCATGATATATGGATATTTTATCTTATCTTCATGCTATTTTCTCTCCTTGCTTTCTCAGTTTTTTAAATCCACATTTATTCATTCTTTCAGTTTATAGTTTTTAGAGTCTCATATACTTTATATTGTCCTATATACTTGAGATACAGAGGTGAAGTAGAAATAATTTTCTTTAAGATACTTGTTATGGTGATAACAGATACAGAAACACATGATTACAGTAATCTTCACTTAATGTTTCAATAGGTTTCACATCTTTAAGTGAAATGACATAATGAAACCAGTTGCTGTAGGCTTAATGATAGAAACAGGAGTTAAGTTCCTATTGCATCTTATCAACATTATAACAAAACTAGAGGCCCAGTGCATGAATTCATGCATGGGTGGGGTATGGCCACCCCAGCCCCAATCAGGGCAGATCAGCAGGGCCTGTTGGGAGGAGGAGACAGCAGGAAGTTGCCTGGCCAGCCCGCCCTGATGGGGGCCTGATCATGGCCAGGCTGGCTGCGGGGAGGGGCTTAGGATGATTGGCTGGCAGGCCCTGCCCCTGATTGGGGTGGGACAAACCCACTGGGGGGGGGGTCAGTGGCCAGGGGAGGGGCAGTGGGAGATTTGCTGGCCAGCCTTGGGGTG